ATTTATTACTTATAGAAAGGATTTAGGGAGTTAAATTAACTCCCAGATTTGGAAACACTGAGCCAGCAGCGTTGACAAGAATATGTCGGCGTCATCAAAGCTGAAACGGGTGGTTCCAACGCTTTCACAAGCAAAAATGAGGCGAGGAAGCGCAATTGAAGGAATCAGCGTCAGCTTTCCATCCAAGGAAAATAGGGTAATTTTTGTTTACCGGCCGGCATATTGTCACGCAAACCAAGATTTCGTGGAAAATCATCCTAAAACTAGAGTAAGGAAGCTGAATCAGAGAAGTAGAATAAAAATCCTGGCGGATAAATGATCAGACAACAATAAAGGTGTCAAATTTTAGCTAGTGCATAATAAATTTTGTGCTATCAGATCAGTTAAAAATTGTAGGGAACTAGAAATCGAGTCATTTTGCCAGAAAATACCAAGAAATCAGATTTCTGAATGAAAGGCTGGAAAAACGATCATTATAGCTAAAGTAATTTAAAAAGTTATGAATTTTCAGCGCAGCAGCATTGCAGTGGCTACTGGTCAAGCAAAAAATTTTGCCAATAAAGCTGGTTGGTTTATTTTTTGCAAAATCTTAAATTTCTCAAATTTTTGTCGTTCCTTTTCCACTAGATCAGTGAACATTGCAATAGCATCAATTCAAGCGACAACTGGTAAACAAAACATAATTTCTAAAAAAAAAATTACAGCGAATAAAGCAGCTGGGACTTTGCACGGCGCTAAAAGGTCAATATGGGATGCACCGGAAAGGATTACTGAAGGATTGAAAGGGGCCGCCGACAAGACTGCGGAGAAGATGACATGGGCAGGTTTGTCATCATGTTTTCTTTCTTGATCCAAATCAGTCATTCATTTCACAACATTCTGAAGAAATCCAGCATTTAGCCGATTGTTGTTTTGCTGGATGCGTACAGTTCCGTCGCTTTTTGACGCGGTACCAGAAGCAACAAAATAAGGATGCTTTATTCAAATGCCGCCTAACACAATAACCAA